ACAGTGCGGATCTTAAAGGAACTACCCCAAAAGGCCATCAACTTCGTTACATATCTGTTTAATGCGGCTATAAGACTGAAATATTTCCCCCAATCGTGGAAAGTAGCGCAAATTACAATGATTTCCAAGCCTGGCAAACCTGAAAATGAGATAGCATCTTATCGCCCAATATCGCTACTTCCAATAATCTCCAAGTTATTCGAGAGACTGATTCTGAAGCGGCTTATACCAATAATTGAGGGAAAACAGCACATACCTCAACATCAATTTGGTTTCCGAAATTCTCACTCCACTATTGATCAGGTACACCGTGTAACCAACGTCATTGAAAAAGCCTTTGAAGAGGGAGAATACTGCCCTGCTGTGTTCCTCGATGTAGCACAGGCATTTGACAAGGTATGGTACGAGGGACTATATTATAAGTTGAACCTAATATTGCCTAAAGATCATTATCTGCTGATAAAGTCATATCTCACAAGCAGATATTTTCGAATCAAAATAGGAGATGAATTCTCCAGCCTTAAACCTATTTCTGCTGGCGTGCCGCAGGGCAGTGTTTTGGGCCCCATGCTCTACCTGTTGTTCACTGCTGATATCCCCAAAGGGAAATCTACTACAATGGCTACGTTTGCCGATGACACAGCTATCCTTTCAGTGAATAGCTGTTTAGCTAAAGCAACGAAAAATCTGCAATTAGCGCTTGATGATATATCTGAGTGGACAAAAAAATGGAGGATTAAAATTAACGAACTCAAATCCGTCCATGTAACTTATACTTTAAGAAAAATTCAATATCTACCGGTAACCATCAATCAACGTGTCATTCCTCATAACAACTCAGCAAAGTATCTGGGTATGACTTTAGATGCGCGACTTACTTGGAAGGACCATGTACGTAACAAGTGCACTGAAATAAAGCTCAAGCAAAGAAAAATGTATTGGCTACTAGGACGTAACTCACAGCTAGCTGTTGATAACAAGTTATTACTTTATAATCAAATATTAAAACCAATCTGGACCTAGGCGCGGCTCTCTGGGGTTGCGCGAAAGAAGCGAACAGGAAGAAGATTCAAACGATCCAGAATCAAATACTTAGATCCATAGTTAACGCTCCCTGGTATATTAGAAACGATGTCATTCATGCGGACCTTGGGATATCCACCGTAAGCAAGGTTATCCAGAAATTTGCCAAGAAACATGAGGATCATCTGCACGACCACCCCAACGAGGAAGCCATTCAACTTCTTGATAATAGTGATGCACTTCGGAGGCTTAAGAGACTTAAACCTTACGATTTATTAACTTAAACGATAAACTCATTCTTAATGATATTAACCGTATGAGAAACCTCCTACTGGGGAGATTTTTCTCGCAAACGCTATCACACTTATACGTACGACTAAATGTTCTTGTTTGATGAACAGATTGTAGTAATTATTTAATTTAAAAAAAAAAAAAAAAAAAAAATCTTATACTACAAACAATTTTCATTTGTGCGCGATAAAATCAAGTTCTTCATTATAAATGATATCTGCTTCTCTGAAAATAATTCATAATGATACGATTATGTCGGAATACTTGTAATAAAAACACAGTTTAATGGCATAAATTAACTATATATTACGTATGTTAGAATTCAAAAAACATTGGATTTATATAATTTTGTTTTTAATAAGTCTAAAATACTTAAACATTAATCTTGTTAAACTATTTTCAAAATCTTAAAAAATATATATCTCTAAAATATTTTTAAAATTTATTTTTTCTTATTGAGAAACTAATAAGTAAAAAGTCAAAACCAGTACAAGTTAAACACACATAAAAGTCTATATTTTATAGAACTTAAACTACTATAAGAAAAAGCTGTACTTTAAAGTACTGTATAATAAAGATATGTATGTCTAAAAATTCATATTAGCTTTGACATTTTTTACTTTAAATGTATTTTGTTGTTTATAAAAGCCTATGTATTAAAAATATACAAATTATAATTTCTCAATATTTTACTATTTTTTTCTCGCTTAATAATATTCAAATGTAGCTATCATTTTATTTTGTATTAAAAGAACAAAAATATTTGTCGAATTTTCCTGGGTTGAAATCCTGCTACAATTAATCATCTGCAATTGACATATTTCAACAGAAGTACTGGAAAATGTATGGCAAAATTTATTTTTCATATTTCCACTTACCCTTTATCTTTTTCTTTGTTTGTATATGAACTTTCGAAAAAATCTTTTACGTTATTAATTGAAATGTGAAGTTTCATATACAAGTTGTAAAGTCTAGCTAATATGACTGTTGAATTTAAAAGAGACAATTTCTTCTCTAACATCATATAGAGACTTTGATATACAACCTAAAGTACCTAACTCTCTATTGTCAATTCGCTTCCATTATATTTATAGAATTTAATGCAGTAAGATTTATGAATATGCATTGAATGAATGATATAAATGCTAATATTGACTTTATTGATGAAAATATCTATTATGACCAAATTTATATCATAATGCAAAGATAATACGGAATCTGACAAACGATACTTAAATCCATCGAGTCGCGTAACATTCAAGTTTTTGTCAAGGAATAGCGAAAGTGTATTAAAGCACTTTATAATAGTTTAAGGAATGTCATATTAAATTGTAGATATCTGTAAAACATTTCTTTATTAAAAAGAAAACAAACGAGACAAATCTGTCGAATTCTATATAAGAACAGAGAAAATGAACAAAATTTACATTTATTTTTGATAAATAAATATGACTAATTTAAACACAAGATTAAAAATAAAATTGATAAAAAGAATGGAAAATAAATATTCTTTTATGAAAAAAGAATATTTTTTACTTAAAGAAATAAAAACAGTTTGAGTCTTTATCTATAAATACTTATAAATATATATAAATATTATATCTATAAATATCTGTAAATATTATTTACATTTGTAAGATATAAGATAAATATAATTTATTTTTTTTAATTATATATTGTAGTATTATTATATATACATATGAAGTAAGTTAGCATCCTCTGAGATAAAACTTTTTCATAAAAAAAATATGTTAAACTTAAAATGTGACAGCATTAAAATATTTAAGAAATAATGGATTTACTTAAATGTAACTGAGCTTTATCAGTGATAACTCAACGTTTATTGCATGTTATTTTCTAAATCTATTTGTGTTTTTGATCTTATGTAAGTTAAAAGCTTAATCATGATCGTCTCGCTTCGAGGAACCACCAAAAACTGACAATATCTTCAGCGTGATATACTATATCAAGTACTTAATGTATGTACTTTATTTTCTTAATTCGATATGTATCAAGCATGCTATTATAGATTTACATAGGTATTTGATATATTATATCAGATCTTCACTATACTGATGGAAAATAGTGGCGGATGGGCAATGAATGGACAGTGGTCCTCTAGTCTTTTATTTAAAAAAAAAACATTTATCTCTTTAAAATAAAGAAAAATTTAAAACTATACTAATTTTATTATTTAAAAAATTTTTTTAAGCGTTCTCAACTGGCGATAAAATTCAAGAATTCGATTTATGTAAATTTTACTTGTTATATGATATATAACATAAAAATTTACGCGTAATATCAAGGCGCATATAAGGAACAAACATAAATATGCATCAATATGATTATAAATATGTTAAGATGTATCCGTGTATGTACATGTGTTGTGTGTGTGTATATATGTATCTTCGTACATAGATACAAATAATGTCACAATAATGTTACATTTAACATCTTTCACTCCCTCTCCTATATGGTTATGTAGTAAATATGTAATAGGGGAAAAGAAAAAGAATAGGAAATAATTTGTTCAAAAGGAAATGTTTTTTAGGACAAAGAAGAACTTTAAGTAGAAGTTTATAAAAGAGAAATTAGATACTAGATTTTTTTACAATAATTTTGATTTATTTATTTTAAAATGTATCAAGAAAAATATGCGAAAGAATATACAGAATACAGGAAGTATATATTTTTAATATTAAAATTATTATTACATTAAATGTAAAAATTAATATATTAATAATAAATAGTGAAAATATATTAATAATAAATATTAATACATAAAGTGATAATATTGATATTAATAGTAATTATTACATTAATTAAATATTAATATAATAAACCATAAAAATATTAAAGTTCATATTTAATAGATCTTAAATATCTAATAGATCTCTAATATCTCTCTGATATTAGGAATATCAAGAGACACGGTAGTGTCTTGTGCTAAGTCCCGCGTTAAGCAACAAGACGTTCCGTGTATCTTTACGCGAGTCGGATAGTTTGAAATATTCGAGATTATCATATTGAAATAATCGCTGAACAGATCGAGTTCTTACTAGGCTTCATTGATAGCTTGAGTTTGATTTATATAAGAAAAATGTCTTTATTTTTGCTCTATGTGCATCGTGAACAGCAATATTATGATCCAAAGTCGAAATGAAACGTCTCCTTGGTCAACGCTCAAGTCCCCAATGCGCAAGCGTACAAAGTTGTACGGTTGACGCATTCGACATAAGATTGCGCTAGCGGCGCTCCGTGATATTAAGACTACTATACATATTGTGTGCGTTCGAAAATATGTTTGGTTGGTGTTGGGAAAAAAGATAAAGTTGGCAGTATTGAAAACTCCCAGTGCTGCGTTTCGTTTCTCCCACTGGGATCACTGGGATTTAAAAAATTTGCTATTGAGATATTAAAAGAGATAAATAACTTAAATACTTATATACTTATATACTTAAATACTTATATACTTAAATATATTTTATAATAATATATTTTATTTGTATACATATATAAATAGGTATATACGCTATAGTTATTATAATTAATGTAGTCATAATTGAATACGAATCTGTTCTAACCTTTATTTCTCTTTCTCTCTTTTACATAAATTATTGCTTTTTACATTTAAATATAACATAATCGTATAACATTACAGATCATTCCTCTTATTATTACTATTGTTAAACATATCTTTAAAAAATGAATGACTCTCTACAGTTAATTAAGAAACACAACATTTGTCAATTGAAGTTACTTGATGAAACAACTAATATAGAATATAAAATAGAAGTTAATGAAGATGATTATAATCGTGCTTATACAGGTGTGTACATTTCAATATTAAATAGTTAACTATTTTGTGACATAACTAAATAGATTTAATAACATTTTTGTACATAATTTCTTTTCTTAATTATATAGTATAATTATTATGCATTGTTTAAAATATATTATGTTATTTCTTTATATATAGATATTACATTTGCTAATGCTTTGCTACAAAAAGCAAAACATACAGTTTTAATTAACAAACATAATTTGAGCACAATTGATAAACCCAGTTGTTCGAAAACAAATGAAGAAAATATAAATACTAGCATACAACTTGACGATTCATTGTCAGATACTGATACTGATCAAAAAGAAACAAACAACAATGCTTCAGATATTGAGAATGAAACAAACATGTTAAATATAGGTATGTTAAAATTATTATACAATTGCAGAAAACTAACAAGATTTATTAAATAATTAAATTTATTAAATTTATTTTTTTCTTTTTAGAACCAACTGATAAGTGGACACATAATGCTACACTTTTGTTGATCTCATTATATAAAGAAAAGTCGCATATGTTGGGTAAAGGACCCCATAAGAAAATGTGGAATCTAATTTCTCAACGCATGAAGGAAAAACAATATAATTTTACAGTCACGCAATGTTATAATAAAATGGACACTTTAAAACGACGATATCGTCAAGTTATCGATCATAATGCTCAAAGTGGAAATGATAGAAAAGAATGGATATATTTAGAGGTACTAAATTATAACAAAAAAAATATTCAGAATTATAACAATTGTTTAGTTTTGCTACTAATAATGAAAATTTTTATAATTAAATAAACTATAAATAATAAATCATAACTTTTTCTCTTAAAATATGTATATTTTAGTCATTAGATGAAGTTTTTTCCAATAAAACATGGGTAAAACCAATATCTGTAGCGGGATCAAATATCCGAGAACCTGAAAAGTCATTATTCGATGACAATGAATCATCAAACAGTTAGTAACTAAAAAAGTAAATTTTATTGTTTGTTGTTGTTATTTAGATTTATAATTAACAATATTTTTTTTAGAACGACAGAAAATCTCATTACACGAAGAAAGAGCAAATTATTTGCGAACATCACTGGAAGAAAAACGTTTAAAACGAGAAGACACTGCTAATTATAGAGCAGAAAAAATAAAAATTTTAAAAGATTTAAAAGAAATTTTTCAAACAAGAAAGTGATATAAACATTATTTGATGCAGTCTTAGCAGAATGACTAACTAGTAATTTTTAAACAATGTTTTACGCTCTAAATCTCTTGTGACACAATAACTGTTTGATGTCTCAAGTCTTAGATCCAAATTCATAATTGTTTTCAAATCTTAAGATTTAAAAATTTCTTAAAGATCATATTCAACCAATGCAATTGTCGCATATTGAGATTTTAAAAACGACTATAAATTCGGACCTAAATGTATATACGAAGATTGTCTTTGTGTATACAAGTGTATATAAGTCACATATTCATTTAAGAGTTTTAAGAAAAAAAAAGTACAAATTAAAACTATAAGGTCTGGTTCCACAACTCGAGTTAATCTGAGTTTAATATGTTAAATTGAGTCCTAATTGGTCCATTCACTACTTAAACTCGGATTAACTGGATTGTGGAACTGGGCCTAAGTAAGTTTACAAAACTGCATAAGTCTACTCAGATTGTGATATTATTAATAATTCTATTATTATATATTTATTAATAGTGTTGTGATAGATTACTAAGGAAATTAATTGACTGTTCTTTTTATTTACTTTTTTCATTCCTTTGATTATTTATTTTTTTTGATTATTATAAAAACTATTGTATTTATTTGTTAAATAATCTAGTTTCTACATATCTATTACAAGTCAAAATGTAATAACTTGTTTTTTATTTACAAGATGTGTTGGTTTTTTCAAAATACTATTGCTTATTATTAAAATGTTCAAATTCTTTATTTGTTACTTATAATTAAATATAATAAAAATTAATAATGAATATTAAGATGTCAATTCATTTTATTTTATTTCTTTGTCATACATTTTAAAGAATGCTATATAAAAATTAATATACTTTACAAATATTTATATATATAAACACACACACACACACACACACACACACACACACACACACACTACATAAACATACAAAAATTAATTCCTATCTTGAAAATTATTATTTGCAATTATTTCCATTAATCGATTTCTTTTTACATTTCCTTCTTCTCTCAATTCATTAGTGATAGCTAACGGTTCCATTTCGTGTAGCATTTCAGGTACAACAACAGGGATTTCAATAGCATCATTTTTTAATAAACAAATGTTGTGTAATACACAACAACTAACTACGTAATATGGAATTAAATCTGTCCTTGTCATTGGCAACTTATCCAATAAATAACGCCATCGTCCTTTCAATAATCCGATTGCTCTTTCTATAATTGTTCGGGCAGATGACAAATTACGATTAAATTCTTTCTGTCTCCTAGTTAAATGACCATTATCATAGAATGGTACCATGACATTTTTTTGTATACTATACGCTGCATCGCCCAATAAATGACTGTCTTCAGGAAAAAATTCTGGAGTACAATATTGTTGTACACCAGAATAAAGAAACACTCGCATGTCATGCACACAACCTGGCATTCCAGCAAAGACATGAATGAAAGATAAATCATGTTTACAGATTACCTAGAAAGAAAATATAGTTATTCTTAACAAACAATTTGCTGTTTCTACATATTGTTCATTCAGTTTACATTAATAGAGTTTGTAATATTTACTATTTCTTAAAATTAGTATATTTAATTGAAAAAAATTTTATTTTTCCTTACTTGTAATTGCATAGAGAATCTGCCTTTTCTGTTAATGTAACTATTAGCATCTCTTTTTGGTCGAGCAATGTTTATATGTGTTCCATCAATGATACCTAGAACTTTTGGAAATCCATACAATCTCTGCATGTTTGTCCATGTTGTTTCAGCTTCTTCATAATTAGGCCATCTGATGAAACAATTTCGAAGGCTGTACAATGCTCGAACAACTCTTTTGACGGAAAACCATGCAGTTGATCTGGCAACACCAAATCTTTCACATATGGAGCGATAAGAATCTGGTGTTGCCAAAACATAAATAGCTATTAATAGCTGTTTTGTTGAATTAATTTGTTCTCTTCCTATGAATGGAAAGTTTTTTAATTGGGGTCCAATTAAATGTAACAAAAAATAAAAAGTATTACGCTCCATCCTGTAACAAATAACATCACATATATTATTATTAATATGAACGTGTGTTTTATATTAATAATGCTATAATTATAATAAAAATGACATGATTTACCTAAAATGTGATTTAAATTCAATATTTGTATATCTGGTAACAACATTTTCCAAATAATCTGTTATTTTTGGTACGATATTCCTTTCACCTCTATTGTTATTACCTCTATTTTCGAATAAAATATTTTGTAATTCTTCATTATCATCATCACTATCTGAAGAAGAACTACTCGAAGATTCAAAAATGATGTTTTCGAGTAAAATATATTGTTCCATAATAATAATTAATGTAATTGTAACACTTTCATATATTGTACATACGGTACAATACAATCCCAATGATCCCAGTGGGAGAAACGAAACGCAGCACTGGAAGTTTTCAATACTGCCAACTTTATCTTTTTTCCCAACACCAACCAAACATATTTTCGAACGCACACATAAAGAAGATCTTAAAAATAAAATTCGAAAGGCGTGTGCGGAAATCACTCCTCCGATAATTCGGAGAGTAAGGAAAAATTTTATGCGGAGGATTGCTTTATGTTTAGAAGAGAATGGCAGTTACATTGAGCATATATTGTGAACATTAAAAAATAGTTTTTTGTTTAAATTTATTATATTTTATCTGTGTTATTATATTTCAATTGTGTCATTTTATGTTATTAATGTTATTTAAGTTATTTATGTTATTAAATATAATGTTATTTATGTTATTAAATATTACAATTACACTATATCAATGTTGAAAGCTTTCAGTTTCCTCATTCCCTACGGATTTGCATTCAAGGTATCAATCAAGGAATTTTTTCACTTTTCACGAAAAAAAATTACATGATCGATCCTCTGATTTTATTATTTTTCAATTACGCGAGGTCGGTAAAAGAAGACCGATCGTCAGATAGGCAACCCGACTTACCGATCTGTATGTTGCGGAAGCATCCTGTACATTGGACAGATTTCTAAAATTATCTTATATTAATGTTATGTCCTTGATGTAAGCACAATTTTAGTTCGTTGCATAAATTATTGTTTTTCAATGTTTTATAGCTCGTATTTTTCTTATCTCATACTTCCATAAACGTTCTTTCTTAAAAAGTCTGTATTGGATTAACTCTTTGAAATTTATAGAGTTGGCATCAGATTTCTAATAATTATGAAAAATATATTTCTTTTGCATTTATATATATTTCGAAGGATTCAATTCTGACTACCATAGAATCCATCAAAGAGATTTTTCCGTGTTTGTCTAGATTCAGTTTTAGTGGATAAAAACATATTATTTTTCTCATACGAGAGAATTAACCCTTTGACCGGCAGTCGAAAGTTTTTTTTTTATTTTTACTACATAATATTTATAATTTAATGAAACTAAATGTGATTTTACATTTTCCTGATGTACTAATACTTACATTTCTTATTGTTCGTGTACTGTTCAAATGTTCATTTATAATTATTTATAAACAAATAATTGTGCGAAAATATGATTTTCTTTATCAGATTTGTTTCCTCGAAAAATATTTAATGCTAGAGGCTGAAAATTTTATTAAACATTCTTTATATATCAAAATATATAAATATATTATTTGATTATATTACGTTCTGTAAAAAATTATACTTTGTTATACATATAAAATGATAATATACAATGTGACCCATTTTAACTTAGGCAGCCAAATAACTCGAAAAATAAGCACACTACGAAAAAATGGTTAGAATCAAAATTTCGTCATTTCGAGGGGGACGTACAATGATGTTAAAATCAGCCCCCCCCATCCCACCCCCTGGGCGGTGAGGGGGGGCAAGTTTGAAATCTTAAATGGAACCCCCTATTTTTCATTGCATATTCTTGTAGCTTATCTCGAGAGGTTTCCAAAACACTATAATTAAGTACCTTTTTATTATAAGTACTTTTATTATAAGTACTTTTTATTATAAGTACTTTTTGAGTTATAAGGCTTGAAATAATTTCTTAATTTTACATAAACCATAAAATATCTAGTAAACCATTCATTTTTCGATTATCTTACCTTCATACTTTTATGTACAAAATAATAAGAGGAATCAATTGGTGTAAAGAAAACACATAGTTGTTTCTAAGAAAAAATATGTAATTTGCAATTAACAATTCCATATTTTTTCTTAAAAACAACTGTATGTTTTCTTTACACCAATTGATTCCTCTCATTATTTTGTACATAAAAGTATGAAGGTAAGATAATCGAAAAATGAATGGTTTACTAGATATTTTATGGTTTATGTAAAATTAAGAAATTATTTCAAGCCTTATAATTCAAAAAGTACTTAATAAAAAGGTACTTAATTATAGTGTTTTGGAAACCTCTCGAGATAAGCTACAAGAATATGCAATGAAAAATAGAGGGTTCCATTTAAGATTTCAAACTTGCCCCCCTTCACCGCCCAGGGGGAGCTGATTTTAACGTCATTGTACGTCCCCCTCGAAATGACGAAATTTTGATTCTAACCATTTTTTTGTAGTGTGCTTATTTTTCGAGTTATTTGGCTGCCTAAGTTAAAATGGGTCACCCTGTATAATATTATCACTCTATATGTATATGTATAACAAAGTATAATTTTCCGCAGGCTAGATTTTTTCTCATACACAAATTACTTGTTTACTGTGAACTACTTGTTTATTGTAAAACTTGCTTTTTCTATACATATGTTATCCGCGATCAATCAATCACTCGATCGCGAAAGATCTTTGACTATTGTTATAGTCCGAAAGACTATAACTTATTATTTCATTGATAATATTAATAGAATATTCGCGAACCGCGCAAAACCGCTACCTCAGCGAACCACGCGTAAAAACGTTCGCCGGAAACGCGAAAACGCTAACGAAGGAATTCAACTTTGAACCTCCTTCGCTTGCACTTAGACTTTGTACGTCACGAAAAACCTCCACGACCATACATGGTCATGTCACTAGGCGATCCCCTCCAAAACACCCCCAAAACCGAGGGAATAAAAGCCGTTCACCGCGAATCCATGGCGGACAGTCGTTAATTATAAATCAATCAACTAGTGCGAGACCAAGGGCTAACCGCTATACCGTGCGACGAATCACCCGACGAAGTTACTAAACACTCTAAATGCTAAGAACGAAGCGATTCAAGAAAGGACGACGAAGAGAGGGCTCGAAAGAAACCGACTAAAAATGAGAAAGATAATCTATTTGTATAAAGGATTTTACAATAAAAACGTTGTAGACTAAAACGGCTGAAGGTTTTGGTTACGATACCCCGCTACCCCACACTGTGCCGCGTCCGGCACAACAACTATGTAACAATGGAGTTTTCAAAAACGTAGTAGATGTTTACGGAATTTTAGAAATCTTATTTTTTTCATATTTGTATACATACATTTATTTCTTTTTCATGGTGCCTGTATTGGAACAGCTCTTTAAAATGTTTCAAATGGGTCCCAAATTTCTAACAATTAATAAAAATATATTTCTTTTCGTCTTTATACATATTTTAATGGTTTTAATTCTGACTACTATATTGGATTCGTCATTTTGAATTTTTGAAATTTTATTTTAGATTTGTAATCAGCGACCCGAAAAACATAAAAAGTGTAAAATATTACAGAAATCCATTAAGTAAAAAGAATTCAATCAAAGCATTAATCAAATAGGCAAATAATTAATTGCCATAATATATAATAATAAAATTGTTAAAATATGTAGATGTCTAAAATGACAAAATTATAATATATATATTTTTTATTGATAACACAAGCCTGCGAAGGTCAGTTAAGATAATCAGTATAAAATGCAGAGCAAGTGAATTTAATTGATTTTTTAACGCTGAAAACGAATGACTACAGAAATCTTAGCACGTTTTCAGATTTTAAGTAAGTTGTGGTTAAACAGTCCAAAAATGGCAATTTTGACCAATTTCATGAACTTATTATAAGAGAACTTAATTTTTGGAAATATTTCTGCCAATGGCATCGTATAGCATTAGTCTTTACCTTTTCTGTCTAACATCTGTTATTTTGAATATTACAGATTTAATATTTATAACTTATTTAAATAACATATTCATAATATGTATATTAAACACATGTCAAAACAAAAAAATAATTCTTTTAACAAAATCATATAATCAATTTAGAAATATTTATTATTATTACAATTATCATAAATTACTTTAGAATACAATCATTATTATAATTCACATGTTTAAAAAAATGCTAAAAAAATTTAAGAAAAGTCATATCATTAAAATTAAAGAATATATTTCTCTTCCTGTAGATTTGCGATCATCTTTGTACTTCTTTAACTTGTTGAAGAATCGTGGGACACATTGTTTTTCGCTAATACGTCTAATAATTTACTTAACGTTAAGACATACATCTCTCGGAACGATAATAAGATACCATATTCTCTTTCAAGAATCTGTTTTATCTCCGTATAGCTTAGCGAATCGATGCCGAGATTGTCGAAGCTGTCATTGATATTTGCCGAGATGTTTTCAATACCAAGGATATTAGCAACGATTTGGATGATATCAACTTTGTCGTCGTTATTTGCAAATTTGTGTTTCTCGGCTATCACTGTAGACGATAATACTGGATATGGTTGTTGAAGGAAAACATCTATGGTCTCAAGACAGCTGGTCACACGTTGCGGTAAAAGATATCTTACATCAAAAATTTCATTCTTCATTGTATCTGTAAAAATCAGAGTATCATGTAGTGATATCGAATGTAAAAAATGATTAGTGTTTGCTTCGATGATCTGGCCAAAATAATTTATATATTTAAATATATACAATAATTTACACTCTTATTTTAATAATATTACGTTATTGTTATTAGTTTGCAATTATGTCCTATTAATAATATCTCTACATTATTGTTTTATATATTTCTTGCAATAAAAAGTTGTTAATGTCTCTATTAATAAAAATAAATAATGTAATAAATTATCCTCGAAAAGTCATATCATTATATTGGTTATGTG